TCCTCCACCAGTCACTCCGTATGAATACACCTTGAATTCTTCCACTAGTCACTCCGTATGAGTATACCATGAGTAGCTTCTTCGGCCCAGTGTTGAGCATTTTTTTTTTAATTATTTAATGTATGTGAGTGTTCTTTCTGAATGTACACACGCATGCCAGAAGAGGGCATAAGATCCCATTACAGATGGTTGTGAGCCACCATGTGGTTGCTGGGAATTGAACTCAGGACTCTGGAAGAGCAGTCAGTGCTTTTAGTTCCTGAGCCATCTCTCCAGCCTCCTTCTGCCCCCCCAGTGGTGGGCATTTGAGTGAGATTTTCTTCCTTCCTTCCTTCCTTCCTTCCTTCCTTCCTTCCTTCCTTCCTTCCTTCTTCCCTCCCTCCCTCCCTCCCTTCCTTTCTTCATTCCTTCCTTCCTTCTTTCCTTCCTTCCACAAGAAGTGTGTGCATGAGTGTGCACAGGTATACATAGAGGTCAAGAGTCAATGTTGGATATATCTTCTATTATTGCTCTTCATTGTATTTTTTTGAATTAGTGTATTTCACTGAACCTGGAACCCACCAATTCAGCTAGAATGGTTGGTTAGCGAGCCACCAGGAGCCAGCTTTCCCCACTCTCCCAGCCCTGGGGTTACAGGAGCACACTACCACACCTGGCTTTTACACAGACTGCTGGGACTCTAAATCAGAGCCTTACCCTGCACAGCAAGCACTCCTATTCAATGAGCCATCTTTCCAGCATCTCTCTTTTTATTTTTTAAAATTAGATGTATACAAGTGTTTTTATGAGCGCTGTGTGTATGTGTGTGTGTATGTGTGTGTGCAGTGCCAGAAGCCAGAAGACTCACAGGTGGTTAAGAGCCACCCTGTATGGGGAGTGGGAACCCAAGTTGGGTTTTCTGGAAAAGCAGTAAGTACCCCTAACCATTGAACCATCTTTCCATCTTTTTTTTTTTTTTTTCTCCCTAGGAGAGAATCCTCACACTTGTTTGTCCACACACTGGAGTTTTTCTTGGCTGTGTCCCTCCAGACAGAAGCTAGGCCATGTAGGGACACAGCAGGGAATTTACAGTATCTTGCCATTCTGATCTCCAAAGAGTCTCCGCCAATTTACACTCCCGCCAACAGCTAGGCGGCTGGGCTTCCCCACAGCTGTACTAACACTTGGTATTGTCAGCCTTTTTAATTGTTGCCAATCTGATGGGTGTGAAATGGTATCTCATTGTTGTTTTGCTTTGCATTTCTCTGATTCCTGCAGAGACCGAGGTATCTCTTCCTCCATTCGTTGGCCACTGGACATGTTCTGGAATGTTCTGGAATGCCTTGACAACACTTTGTTTATTTTCCTATCAGCTATTGTCTTTTTCTTGTTTATAGTTAGGTCTCTCAGTCTTGCTTTGGCTTTCACTTCCCCATTTGAAGCTTACTCTGCACCATGGTTGACATAGTACCATAATTGATTTTTCAGTCACGGAGGTCATCCCTTTTCCTTGGAGCCGCTGGTGAGAGAAGTGCCCTCAGCCAGCACTGGCTCCCCACTCCCCAGGGCCACTCATCCACTTCATGGATCAATCATTACTTACTCTGCCCCTTGGCTGATTTAGCCAGAATGGTCGTTGTTTGACAACTGATAGGGCAAAACCCACTCACAGCTACTTTTCATTCTTTTTGGCTGCTTGAAGCAGTTTCTCTGCCAAATTAACTTTAAAATCACATTGCCAATGCCCCCGAACGCCCCTGTGGTGCTTGGATGGTTATCACAAAGAGTTTACAAAGCAGCTGAAAGATCAGTTTTTCTCTTTGACTATCTCTTCTCCCTACACAGAGGGCATCCAGACCTAGACTCATTGATCAGCCTCAGAAGCAGGCTCAGGGGCCCAGCTAGGGTCAGGGCCAGGCTCAGAGGGCTCCTAAGGCTCCTGACTTGGTCTTTTGTTTCTACAGTGACCAGGTTCTGGGCCTGGAATTGTCTTGGGCCTGACCTATCTCCCTGAAGCAAAGACAGCTCTGCAGACCCACTTGCAAGCATCTGGCTCCTCCTTGTCCTTTGGACTCTTCCAGGGCTCAGTGCTGTCTCAGGAGGAAGGACTGGGCCTCCAGCCTGGCACTCAAGGTTCTCCTTGACCTAGTCCCTGCCTTTCTTTCCAGCCATGATACCCTTCTCTTTCTCTCAACACAATCCACTGTCCCTACATCTTTGGGTATGGCCCCTGCCTGGGCTCTCTTCAATATAAGTACTGGCTTCCCAGTCATGTCTGCTAAATTCATGTTACCCGCTTCGAGGAAGCCTTCCTGGAACCTATGGAAGACAAGGGGACAGTTCCTCTTCAGTGTTTGGCACTTAGCACATCTTGAAGGCTGTGAGCGTGAAGCAACTATCTGTTACTTCTATCTGCCCCTGTCTCCCAAGGACCGAGATGGACAGAGAGCTCCTGAGGATGGACATAGATTCTTCCTCCATCGCTCTACACAGACGCTGTCACATGGCTGGCTACTCCTAGCCATGAGAAGCTCACTGCCCTCATGAGACTACACTGGCCTTCTTGGAAAGAACAAACTGAAAGGACGACTTTCTGGATGCTGGCCATGCTCCATGCTGGACATTCATCAACATCAGTTGCTTCCCGTGGAGGACTAGCCTGAGTAGGATTATTCCCATTCTAACAATGAGAAGACTGAGACTCAGAGCAGTGAAGTACATTTCCAAATCACAAAGCTCAGTGGCCAAGAAAGTTGGGATATTCAAACCCAGGACTGTGAAAGCCAATAGTATTTCTTAAAACACCTCGATGTTTAAAACACCTTGATGTTTAAAACACCTTGACATTTGCCTTCCTGAGACTTGGATTCAAGAGGTTGACTGGTCATCAAAGAGCAAACTGAGCCAGAAACAGAGAGGCAGGGACTAGCTTAGGTTTTCACAGCAAGAGAACTGAGGGGAGCCAGGACTGAAAGCCAAGGGCCTTATTCTTAGGGCATACTTATTTACTCTGTTCCTGGCATCCTGTCAAGCAAGAGGCTGCTCAGAATGTCAGGTTGCCATGCAGGGCTGCAAGCCTCTTAGTCCAGGTCAATTCAGAGAAGTCCTTGTCTGAGGGGCTGATTTATAACTGAACACAAAGATACCTGCCATGGTTTTGCCTTGAAGCTCAGCAACTCAGTCTATGGAGCACAGAGCAACACTCCCTGAAGACAAGCACAGCGGACATGGGGTTGTGGGGAGCAGCTAATCGGGGGCACCTTGGGGGACCTCACCTGCTGAGGGATGAAAGAACTAGAGAAGGTGACGGCAGACCAGAAGAAGATGCCGCAGCTGAGGATCACCTTTCTATTGAAGCGATCGCCCAGGTAGCCGAAGATGGGGGCAGCCACCATGAAGCTGCAGATGAACACTGTGGAAAGAAGAGAGGAGAGCTGGAGTGTGTGCCATCCTGGCTAAGGCCAAGTGCAATGAGACATAGCTGGGCCTGGATCCAGATGGAGGAAGTGGTCCTGGAGGGACAACTTCAGTGTGTGGCACACAGAGCAGGCAGGGGGAATGTGAAGGATTAGAGGACATGGGGACTCCAACTCTTCTATCACCCCCAGCTTATTCCATGTCCTGTGAACCTTGGAACATTCCCTCCGAGTGCTAGCCCAAGGCTTACCACATCACCTCCAGGAGCTTCCCATATCATAGATGAGGGCAAGACTCAGGGAAGCTGACTTGCCAAGGTCCCACAGGTAATACATGTCTTAGTAGAAATGGAACCTTTGTCTGCCTAGCCCCAGAGCCCGAGTTCCTTAGGTTTGGCCATTTGTTTTGCTCGCTTGTTTTTTAGACAAGGTTTCCTATAGCCCAAGCTGGCCTTAACTTTGCTATGTAGCCAAGGATGATTTTGAACTTTGGACTCTACCACCTTCTTCCAAGTTCTAGGATTACAGGTATGCACTACCATACCTAGTTTATGTGTTTCTAAGGATCAAACCCAGGGCTCCATGTACTCTAGGTAAACATTCTACCAACCAGGGAGCAACATCCTCAGCCCGTATTCTCTTGTTTTGAGACAGGTCTCACTGTGTAGCCCAGGCTGGCACAGAGCATGTTGTTTAAACCAGGCTAGCCTCAAATTCACAAGAGTTCCACTTGCCTTTGTCTCCCTGCTGGGAGCACTAGCATGCATGGCCTGCCTTACTTCCTGTATTATGTTGAGAAAGAGGCTGGAGAGATGGCTCAGAGGTTAAGAGAAATTGTTGTTCTCACAGAGGATCCAGGTTCGGTTCTGAGCACCCACACGGTGGGTCACAACTGTCTAACTGCAATCTCAGGGTATCCGATGACCTCTTCTACCCTCTGTAGTCACTGAGCACTCATGCAGTGCTCACATATGGAGGGAAAAATTTGTGCACATAAAATTCCGAATCTTTACAGATACTTGAAAGAAGGAGAGACTCAGAGAGGGTGAGGGATCGATCAACCTAAAGTCACACAGCAAATCAGGGCAAACTTGAGCCTGGAACTCCAGGCCTTACCATCTTCTGGGTCACTCGGCCACCGTCAGGCTAAGCAGGCTGCAGAAGCTATCCTGAATATTGGAAACCCTGCCATTCACTTAGTCACTCATGCATCAATCCATTCCACACTTAGAGGGAGGGGCATGCTTAGTTACCGACCTATTGTGAAGAAACACTGTGACAAAGGCAAATTATAAAAGAAAGCATTTAATTGAGGACTTCTTTATAGTTTAGAGGGTGAGGTCCATGACCATCATGGTGGGGAGGGTGGCAGCGGTGGCAGCAGGCAGGCAAGCATGATGCTGGAGCAATAGCTGAGTGCTTTCATCTTATCCAAAAGTTGGAGGCAGTAAGCAAGCTCACTGGGATGGTGTGGACTTTTGAAACCTCAAGGCCCATCCCCATGATACACCTCCTCCAACGAAGCCACACCTCTGAGTCCTTCCCTTCTGCCAACTGGGAAGCAAGCATTCAAACCTAGGAGCCCGTGGAGGCCATCCTCACTGAAAATTTATAACTTGCCTTGGCCACGGTGTTTCTTCACAGCAACAGAAAAGTAACTACCAGAGCATCTATAACATACTAACGTACGTTAGGTGTTTGGGATTCACGGGCAGATGAACACGAGATTCCTACCTTCCTGGAACTTATATTCTAAGGCAGAAAAGCACATAAATAACACAATAGTAGTAGCAATTAACAAACTGTATAAGATGATGAGGAATATTAAGCAGGTGCAGGAGATTAGAGAAATGTATATGAAGGACCAGAGCCTGGAGAAAGGGGTGGCAAGAAGCAGCTGCTGACGGATGCATGAGGAAGATAAGGCTTTCTGCAGAAACAAAGGTGTCCTGAAACTCAGGAGCTTAGTGCACAGGGAAGGTCCTGCAGCCACAGGTGGAATTAAGGAATCTGGCAAAAACCAAGTCATTCCTTGTGACTGAGGTAAGAATGAAACATTGGCCAATCCTGTTCGAACATCCCTGCCAAATATCTTTTGCTGTCTTGCTGCTGTGTATAGCCAGACTCTAGTGTTGCCTTAGAGTATGACAGACATTATAATGCATTTTTATTTAAAATAGATGTGTGAGAGAGAAGACAGACCATACAGTATTAAACAGAAGAGGCTGAGAAGTTTCACCTCAGCAAAGACCTGCAGGAGGCAAGAAAGCATTCATAGAAGTACTGGGGGAGGGAGGGCAGCAATGCACTCAGTGTGTTTGAGGGGCATGAAAGAGGCCAGAGTGTTTGCAGCAAAATGATGGAGGGGGAGGGGTGAAAGATGAGGCTAAGAGGCCAGATGGAGTGCGATCCTCATGGGTCAGACAGGAGATGCTGAACAAAGAACTAATGACCTGGCTTTGCTCTGCTAGGACAAGAGCACAGTAATGTTCAGGGACTTGGAGAGAATGCCATTGTTGATGATGGGAGGGGGTGGTGTTCCAGGTGAGATACAGAGATTCAGGCAGGGTAGAGGCCAATGACAGACAGGGAGGCCCCTCTGTCTCACGGAAGGCAGCCCCACTGCCAGTAGGCAAATGGCCAGACAACACTGACCTCTGTCCCCTGACTTCATGTGTACGTGGTTTAGCAGCCTCTGGGGAGACAGTATTTAGCGGGGAGGAGCAGCAAAGATAGGAAGGCCGTGAGCAGGGCAAAGTGGGCTGCTCAGAGTAGCATGAAGGGTCTTTTTCTCCACTGGACTTGAAAGCATAGGATAAGGGACCTAGTAATTCAGGTCTGTGATTTAGGCTTTGAGCAGAATCAGTCCATGGGCCTCAAAGACATCCTACCCCGGGTTCAAGCCCAGCTCTGAGCCTTCTTTGGTAGGTAGGCTCCTTTGCCACGTCACAAGTCTCTGTTCCAGCTTCATTGGTATGCTGGTAAATGTGTAGAAACAGGCTCTCTAAAAAGGGACAGATGAGGGACCCCACGATGCCTGGGGGTTGTGCATCTCCATAATATAAACACTCCCACCCAGCTGAGACCAATCACCTAAGAGATGTGACGCTCAGAGCACAGTACCTTGTCCAGTCATAGGAGTTTCCACCATTCAGATGAAAGGAGTTTACCTTAAGCACACTGATAATAGCTTGATGTAGGAAAGTAATTAGGAAGTGATGACTTCTGAGAAATTATCAGCTTCTTTTATTACAAATCACTCTGTTGTAAGTTTATATAATTTAGTTCTGAACAATGGCTGCGTCGAACAATCAGCTCACACAATTCCTAAAAATTTAACAATCGCCTCTCATGAGCCACTCTGAGCCAGCTCCCCACGCCAACTTCCTCATCTGTAAAATGAAGATAAAAATAGCAGCTGCTCTGGGTGGCTTGAGTATTGGATGAGGCAGTGCGGGGGAAGGTGCTTCACGCCCTGCCCTCTGAGGCACAGGCTGGGTCAACAAGGCTCATGTTTACATTAGCCAGGGCCAATATTATTTCCTTACATCTACAGAAAGAATGCTTTCTTGTCAGCCCTGCCTCCTAAGACCTGCCCAAGATCAGATCAGGATATAGACAAGGAAAAGCTTAGTCTCAAAGGGCTTATACATGTTTAGGGGAAGAGGAACAACTGCCTTCTTTCTATATGCCAGTCTGGGCTGGGTGGGAGTGGGCAGAGAAAATCAGAGTAGGTGATGGCTCTTGTCTAGCCAAAGTGCAGGTCCATCCATGAATTACACAACTCGATATATTTAAAGCCTGTCAACCAGTAAGGAACACCAAATCCTGCTGATGTCAAAGTGGGTAATGAAACATTACCTAGGAGTTCACCATGATGACAACACACACACACACACACACACAATATATATATATATATATATATATGTAAATTTAAAGTCTTCTAGTTATATTATATGATGGTTAATGAAGCAAGATGCTTATTGTTAATAACGGCTACAGTTGTCCTTGATGGATCAGTTATGACAGACCAGGTCCTGGACACACGCTTGGCATATGCTTTTATTATCTCTGTCGATTCTCTCTCTTAACTCCATCTTACAGAGAAGATGACCCAGCTGAGAGAAGTGATGTCACAGGGCAACTGTACGTCTGAGCCAGAATTAAACCTTAGTTTAGCTGACTCTGAAGCCCTTGCTTTAAATCACATCACTCGATGCTAGACCGGGAAGGGGATGGTCCCCACAGATGCCCCTGACGTCAGAAAATATTCATGGTGTACTGGGAACAGCAGTAGATGGGTCAGGCTGCAGCGTGAGAAGGCCACAGAGGGACATATGTCCCTAGAGACCAGAACTGGGCTAACATTCTAAGGCGTACATAGCATGTCTCATCCTACCCCTGTGAGGAGGAGTACTTGGAAAAGCGCTCACTGGGTGACTGAAGGAACCTGAGACAAACACCCGGGCCTTGGCCACCTCGCAGTGTTTTCAGCAGGGCTGTCTGGCTCTCCCACCCTAGCTTTTTGCTCATGCAGTGGACAGGAACACGGAAGCTGGGTAGGCTCCTAGAACAGCAGTGTACCTGTCTCCACCTGCCAGTCTGGCCTGCTGTGCTCCCAAGCTTCTCCACTCCATCGGAAAACGTGAGCCCTACTTTTCTGTACCCACATTAGAGCTAGAGCCACTGAGGCCCCAGGAGGGGTAGAGGAACTCACCCTGGATGACTTAGCTAGCCTGCCAGGGACCTTATGACTTCCCTTAAGAACAAAGGAATTCCGGGTCAGGAATGTGCCAGGTCACCTTTGCAGCCTGATGGGGAGCCTCAGGTTCCTCCTAGCCCTCAAGGGCATCCCTGGCCAGCAGCAGTCCCTATACACTGTCAGGATAGGTACAGGAGAAACAACCCAAGCAAAGGACAGTAAACTATATGTCCCTTGGGAACAATGGGCACTGAGAGGCTTACAAAGCCCGTAGGCAGCTCTGCTGGAAAT